AAAGCATTCCTTTGGAAAACATCCAACAATTTTTCATACCAAAAACTGCTTTTCAATGCTCATGCAGGTGTGTTTTTGACATAAAAACTATCGCACAAGATCGCTGGAATGGGGATGGGTGGACGGTGTTTTTGTCCAGTATTTAAATGATATGCTAATTCAATTGACTGGTCAACGTGACAAGTTGTACGGGAGCTACCCTGACACTACCTTTAACAATCAAATCGGCCAAAACAATTTTATGATAATGTCCAAATTCAATTTCCATATATTAATTTTCATCACAGCCCTTCTGACTCATCAACTTGTTGTTCTCGGACAGTTGAAATAAATGGCCATGGTGACAGGTAAATTAAAGCCCCTGTTCATTCAGATTAGAAAATTTGGGCAAGAGATTTTACATTTAATCAAGATTTAACTTTTACTCGTAAACAATGGGAAACATTCATTTTTATTTTTTGTTTATTTATTTTTTTTATTATTATTATTATTTTTTTTTTTGCAAAAAGCCCAAGAGATGAATACTGGACAAGACTTGCAATGTTTGCATATATTGTTTCAATCAAATAACAAGGGCATTAAGTCCTAGTGACTTTTAGGGAAAATAACCCTAGTGACAAGGGAATGCAAACCCTAGTTACTTGGGAAAATAACCCTAGTAACAAGTTGTTACAAGGGAAAATAACCCTAGTGACAATGGAAAACAACACAAGTTAAAAAGGGAAAATTATAAACTCTTATATAATAGTTTGAGCTTAAAATGTAAAAGAAAATCTAATATAATTATACAAATTTGATGTAGAATATTGAGTAGGCTGATATCTGTGTCAGTGTGCCTACAACTCATTAATGTTCAAGCTTGTCAATTATTTATCAGTTATTTTAAGTTAACTATTCTTGGAAATCATGAAATTTGTTTGTCCAATATCAAGGGAACATCTGCCAAAAAAATAATGGATATACATTAAAATTTCAGTCAATAATTGCTCATTTTAATTGAAAATTAAACATGTAACATCCTCTTTGCACAACAAAAAGGTACAGTTTTTTTCTGTATGTTTGTGTTCATGATGTCAATTAAAACATCAATTATTTTTGTCTAACACCATCAGCTGGTTATGGGTCGAGGGGTTTTAATTCATGCTAACTGGTAATAACCTCGTTTTAAATCTTCCTAATAATTGACTTAACTAATTATAACAATAAATATAATAACAAATTATGCTACACATAGTCGACAGTGAAAAAAAAATCAAAGAATCACAGGAAAATGTGCTGCAATTGAAGCTCAAACACTGGAATCCTTGATCTGAATAAACATAATGCTCCATCTTCTGGGTTTGCCAGCCAAGCTTTATAAGGTTTTGAACTTTTTAGTTATTTCCCTTTTAAAATACGATAGTTTTTAGCAAATGTATACAAATTTCTGTGAACTCAAAAAAAAATGTGTTTTACGTCTTCTTTTTATTTTTGTAATGGACAACAAGTTCATATCCATTATTCATTGCGGGACATTTATACGACATGAACTATTGACCCAAGCGTATGCAAATTATGTTACTGCAAAAATAACGTACTTCAAAAAAAAAAAGATGCGATAATCATATCTGCTATTTCCCCTTGGCTGAATCTCACGTTGTCTTTTATGTATCTAAATTGTCACCGAGTCATCTGAAAAGGTGATCTAGTGGTCTTTGCTTAATAAAAAAAAGTTTCAGTTTTCACATTGATTAATAACAAAAAGCGTAATTTTACATTACGATCACACTCGCTTCGCACTGAAACGCAATGACCCAAAGTCTCGCCTTTTCATTCTCTAATCAGATAGCCCTATCGTATAGATGTTGTTTGAAAATATGATACTTTCATACAAATAGAAAATGACTGAATATGATACTTTTAAAAGTGATAACATAGGATGAAACTGTTAAAATGTAACAGTAAAGGAAACTATGATAAAACGATTACATACAAAGTATCATGGTGGTATTCAAATTCTCTCTTCATAGGAATTTTACCTTAACTGTTAATTGCACCATAACATCTTCTATGATTTCAAATGATAAAATTTTATGGGGGTGAAGAAATGCAGTTTTTTGTTGTTGTTGTTGTTGTTTTTTATCTAAAAGTGTGATGATAGTGGTCATGTAATCCTAATTTTTGTCTAGAGCAAAAGAAACAAAATCTTGAGAAAAGAAAAAGAAAAAAAGAAAATCTAATTTTTAAATTTGAATAGTTCAAAATGCGTCAAAAGAACCATCTTGAGCACAAATGGAAACAAGTAATAATGCCTACTATTGAACACAATGTTTACAGATAACTTCAAATAATTTGATTACATAATATATGTACCTGTAAATTATAAATGAGACAAAGCTATTATATTCAATAACATTCAATGTAATCAATCACCCTCCATAGAATAAACTCTATAATAACTCTATAAAAATATAGGAACATTTCCATTCTAACCACAAGAAAAATTTCAATATCTGAATAGGACCAATTTTTATTTTGAAATTATGGTATGCAAGGGGGCGGATTTTACGCTGTGTTTCAAGCTATATATATACAAACACTTAAGTTATTTGGTATCTTTTTTAGCTTAATTTATAAATGAAAGTCCTACATTCAACATAACATTCTAAACACCCACATTTTATTGTTCAAAATATATTAACATATTTTGAATAAAATAAACAACTACAACAACCTGTACTTTTTTTTGGCAGTTTTTAGTAAAAAGAAAAAAAAAAGCTTGCTGACATGATGTTTTACTATGTAATGAATAATGAAAACTTTTCATTTGAATGCAAAATTTTTTCTTTTCAACCTACATGATATAGGATCAACAGCATATAAAGTAAATAAATAATTTACAGACTCTATAAACCAACCTAGAAATATGGCCAACAGATTAACCTGTGTCTTTATACACCTTTAAATATGTTTTTAAATCACATTTAAAAGCCTTTTTCATACCCCAATAGACAGTTCTCCTACTTCAAAGGCCCAGATTTTACGATGGATTTACTAACGGACAAAAAATTTGTTATTTTTCAAATAGAGAAATTCATCTACTATAGGTAGTATTTCAAAACTGCTACATTTTTTCAATACTTTATCATTAAAATCCATGAATAAGTAATCTTGAATTTGTAATCTGTAAGTGTAATGCTTATTCAGGTGGAAATATTCTATTTTGTGTGACAATACGATGACGATCGTAACATCGTCCTGTAATCCTACGCTTCCTTTTACTTCAGGGGGTAGATGCCGTGATTAAAGATTATGACGAAACCTTACCCACCTATCTTCCACTTTTATCGTTTCTGTCCACTTAAATTACTCCTTTCAAATTACATTTAAAAGCAACGCTCCTTGCAAAATGTTGTAACAAAATGCAACTGTATAGAAAATTGAAGATGTTGGTATCAAAAGAGTTACCAATTGATAAAATCTTCAATACACAATGTCAAGCATTAATTATTTTTTTGTTAATGTAAATCTTTTCAAAAATCATGGAGTGCCTTAATTATAGATCTAAGTTAGATATCGGACAATGTACCACTTCAATTACTTGAATTAATACATCAACGTTGGTAAAACATTGCATAACTTTTACTACACTTTCGAGTACAAATTTTTTAATTCAAAAAGACTTAATTATACACTTTCGCATTAAATTTTTGCCCAAATGTTGACATTACGTTAGAGATTTACGTGCCTGGGTAAAATTTAATAATGCATTTCTGAACTGTATCACTGAACTGAGAAATTGAAATAACAAGCTCATTTATTCAAATTAAAGGGTTTCCCCATAATACCGTAAAGGTGTCAACAGGTTTGTATTCATAAAAATTAAGTCAGCATCTAATACATTTTCAATTAATTATCAAATTAATTTCATTTCCCATGATGGAAGCTTTGTAGGGCCCACAGGGACTCGAAATACCTGTATACCTCAGTATACTATAGGGTTCATTTTGTTTAATTTAATTTTTTGTTGTTTTTTTTTTACCCCATCACACTGAAACTGTAAAGGCCATAATTTGCAACTTTCGGGAAAGTTCTCGATGCACCACACATTTTAAGCTTGAGTGGACACCAAGAATCACCAACCTTTTGAAATTATTCATTTTAGGCTAACATACCTGGAATTAATAATAAAAAAAAACTCTTTCTCAAAACTGCTCCACTCTCTATCCTTGCATCTTAATCAATGCTCTTTTTATTTCATCATAATATTATCACATTTTACAATTCGAGTTCCAGTCACAACACAAGATTTTTCAATTTAAATCTTGATCAGCGAATGACATACATCTTCAAGCTACAGAGTAACAAAAAGCAAATTCTATTATATGCTATCCAATGAAGTTGGTTTCACCCCTTGCCAAATCTTAATGTATAAATATTTTTTAAAGAGAAGTTCCAATGTCATCATCTTGTTACTTCTTCAATGTCATTACAGCATTAGTAAATTATTGCAAGTAAACAACAAAGAACTTCAGAGTGTGTATAGAAGATATGACCTGATATCAAAGTCTAAAAAATGTCACCGACCGCTAATGAAACATTGTTCATTGACATCGTACGAGTTGCAAAGCCATATTACTATGTCATACAAGGCTTATAACAGCAGGCCGACTGCGACTTTTCTAGGAAATATAGCATTTGTCTTAGAATAATCTTTATTATTCAAGCAGCGTTACTATTATAGTAAAAACACGTCAATGAAGCTTTCGAGACATATGAACTATGGTTTGTTTGTCTAGAAGTCAAAACAACAAGATAGAGTACTTGTAAGCAGTTTACGATTTCATTAAGTTCATTGTTTCAGTTGAGAAGAGCAGGAGACTAGTGGTTGCGGCCTCTCACTCATCCCCTCAGGTCAGGGATAAAGGGTTTGAGCCTTGTTGCATTTACCCAATATTTCCTCTTATATCATCAGTACTGGAAGATACAATCATCATTTATTTTATTAAAGGGAATGGGCAGTTAAGAGTACCAACCTTTTCCTATGTCAGAAAAATCACCCACTTTGGGATTCACTCCTCAGATTGTTCTGCCATCATCAGAGCCCTCTATCATCTTAATCTATCAATAGCGATGGGACCCCATTCTAGACTGATAAAGAAACAGGTATATTTTAATATATTTATTGTTTAGTATTTTATTTTCACCCACAATTTGAATACTTTAAAATGCATGAATTCAGGTAGGCACCTTTGGTTGAATCATGATCCTTTTGTAATTTATACTATGGCAGTTGAGTTGGGATAATGTATCCAAAGATTTAAAAATAATTTCACTGCTGTAATATTATATATAAATAATTATCTGAAAGCAATATTATTTTTGAGCAAAAAATTCATCATAAAGTTAAAATCAATCGCTTATGAAAAAACATACATAAAATATGGTGTAAGGTATTTTTAAATAACACTGGCTATAAAAAATGATCATACTAAACTTAAATGGCATAGAATATTATATACCAACTGTTAATTCTGTATTTTCCATTTCATTAAAATATACAGCCCCCTGTGGCTACTCCATTGGACCATCATTTATTTGCCTGTTTATCACTTTTAATCAATTCCATCATCAAATGATTAAAAACCTGAAATGAAAAATAAACAGGACAATAATGAGATGCTGAAATCACTACTATTACCTTACATAACTTTCCCCTCCAGTAAAAGGTCAGCCTTAAACCAATTTATATGCTAATTCAATCAGACATAAGTTTTCAAATAGACATAAAAACCAGTACCAACATCATATATCATTGCCAAATTTTATAGAAAGAGTTTATCAAATATAATTGTTTCATTAATATAACTAACAAACTTATATAAATGTCTTTTTTTTATTTTTTCAAACAATTAAAAAGAATGTTCTTTAAAATTTAACTACTTATATGGATGATTTTGCACATCACTGGTTTAAATATGGAAAAAAAATCTTCATATTCATTTAATTATATAAGAACCACTGTGTTGATTTTGTCATGTGATGAAAAAAATAACAAAAAAAACACCAACAGTTATTTCTGTCAACAAAGTGTCAAGACGGATCCTATTTCGTCAGGTTTTCTGCCATCTTTTGCCAAAAATATTTCAAAAATACTGTTAGAATTTAAAAGGGCGTGTTTGGAATGTTACAATACAGGCGAAGGGTATCATCATCAACATTAGGTGGCAAATAACATTTTAACCATTTCTCATTTTCTCTGAAACTAATACTACTTTTTTATGCAAATTTTAAGGCGATAAATACTCTCAATGAGCCCAATTATTCATTCACTATTATTCCTTGAATTGTTGTAGGAATTTTGTATCAACAATGCTTTACCGAACAACAATCAACGAAATTAACCAGTGTGTTGAAAACTCCCACACAAATAAAGGTGAAAATAAAATGCCCTTTGATCTTTGTAACAATTAATAAATCTAATAGTTTATCCCCTTGAATATTAATCAGATTCAAAATTGAAACTTTCGCGACATACCGGACGTCTTAAAGACGATGTCACAATTATATTGATAACCCTTAGGTTTTGTTTCATATTATATTGTAGGTTCAATTTAAATGTTTGATTACAGTATTTATTTTTATTTTAACTTAACTACCAACACTAATTATTTCAATATCTGACATATAATGATTGTGTTGACAAGTACACTGAATGACATCCTGTTTCCAACTAAACTTTCATAATGTGTCAGGTGTCCTCTTTATATCAGACCAATTATTTGAAAGGATCCAGTTCTAATTCTGAGACTATTTTCTGGCGCATTAAGCTTGAATATACCAGAGTCAATATATATCTGCATATAATATATATAACCTGTGTCCTGGTAACATGGAACAAGAGCGATCAGTGATCACATGTGTCGCCTCATGATGGCCAATTTCATGTTGGGACAAGTTTGTGACAGACGGACAGTGCACAACTAGACTTGGTACTGATCATTCCTGTAAAGTTTGGATAAAATTGCACCAGTAGTTTATGAGGAGTAGTCCGGACAAGCTTTTGTGTATCTGGCAACACACAGAAAAAAACACCTTTTTATCAAAGGGCCATAACTCGGCCAAAAATCATTCAACCGGAAAACCCGTGCAATATGCGCAAGGATTTAAGCTACAGATCAATCCTGTAAAGTTTCATTGAAATTGCATTAGTGGTATAAGGGAAGTAGTCCGGACAAACTTTAGAAATAAAAATTATTAAAGGTCCATAACTCTGACAAAAATCATTGAACCGGAAAATGCTGACAATATGCACAACTGGACTTGGTACTGATCATTCCTGTAAAGTTTGGATGAAATTGCACCAGTAGTTTATGAGGAGTAGTCGGGACAAGTTTTGTGACGGACGGACAGACAGACGAAGGAGAAGTGATCCCTATATGTCGCCACTACTCCGTAGAGGCAACACAAAAATGAACTTATCAACCTCAAATGTCTGACAATTTTGAACATAAATTAAAGAAAAATATGTTCATTTGGTCATCAGCTGATTAGTGGGCTGCATTCTAAAATAAACTGTTTTTACTTTTCAAAATGCGGAATTCCTTTGGTAAGGCTGAATCATTGTCAAAATGGTGTTGATGAAAGTTTACAAACATACATGTAATTATTTTATACTGTCTGCATTAAGAATTTATGATTCCGGCATTTTTAAACAAATAACAACAGAGTCAGATCATTTAAATCAACATTTTAAAGTCTTAATTTTTAATTTCAGACTTCAATCACCAACAAATATACAGGTCTTGTCTAAGAATATAAATATAAAATAGTTCTTTATCAAACGACATGACCGTTAGGGAACTGTCCCAGTCCCCCTCTTTGGATGAATTTCAAGAAAATTTCCTCTGCTCCTAAAGTTATGTGGAATCAAGTCGGAGAACAACAATTAGTCATTAAAAAGGTTGTATATTAAGAATCTTCTTTCAATGTCATTTTTATGATTACATGGAACTTAAGGAAGACATAAGTGTTATCCAAGAAAGGAACAAGGAAAGAGTTTAAAAGCCTGTGGTGGCAAATTTCCTTTCACAGGAGCAATGCCCAACATCTTGTATCACAAGTCAACAATGACTTTACTGTTTTCTCCTAATTTAGTTGTCTAGCATGGTCCACAGTTTCACAACTTATTTTAACAGTTCCATACAGAAAGGTGGTGCCTTATATAAACATCTTCTCCATGGGAATTATATAGCTGGCACCGTATTTTTAACATATTTTTTCATTTCTTGTAATGCAAACAACACTTTTTATAAGTATTACGTCATTAAAATTGGCGCTTAATGTACATGCTAGAATATTTATTGAAATTAAGGAGTCTAGAAGATGACCCACAGCTGTTTTATATGTTTTCTAAAGAACAATTTCTCTATATTGCCATAATTACTGTGATTATAAAGCTCAGCTTTCAGACCCAATCAATTTTTTCAACAATTAATGCCTGTATCATGACATTGTACATTACTTATTGGTATTATTTGTATATAAACTGTGAAATTGTTTGAAATAAACTCATAATGATTAAACCAATGACTGTGAATTATGCCAGTCGACTATCAAAATGTCAGACCAGTTCTTACCATAAACTATTATAATGCTTTGGTTGTTTAATTACTTAGATTTTTTTTTCTAACATCAAAATCAATAAGATTAACAGTGGAAATTTTCAAAATTTATACAGGTCTATTCCATTTTACAGAAATTCAACTTAATTAACAAAGTTTAAGTTATCCATGATGTTAAGACAATAATATATTTTATAATAATAAATTATACATCAAATTAATATATATTATATTATAATTGGTTATAATGTATTTAAAAGAATGAAAAATTTAACCATTGAAGGTCTATTTTTATAACTAACCAAAATATTTTTGAAGCAGCTTCATTCAAACCCTGGTACAAATCAACTGATAATCTAAGTAACCACTTTGACATGGTTATATTAAACCTTTAAATGAAGAAAACCTCCATTTAAAAGATTTAATGCACTAAAAGTGATGATCACTGAACCTTTAAAAAAAAATATATATAAAAATCCATGATCTGTACGGGTAATTTAAATATATGTTATCTTATTACCCAATAAAAATCTCACAGCCGTAAATTAAGAATTTTAATTTTAAGGCTTAATGGATGGAACCAATAAACATATAGATAATTGATGGGTTTTTGCCAGATATCTCAATGTAAAAATGATAAAAATGGTGTTACTTACAATTATATGCCATTAACACTACTTCTTTTCAATGAAATTTTAACATAAATATGGCAGATGACCCTTGTAAAATACAGTTCATCGTTAGTACACAGTACAACCAGGCATAATTAATCCACTAAGAGATGCACATATTGGAACCAGTGCAAATTTAAGAGTCTTATCTTAACCTTTTAATTTAAAAAAAGAGTGCATCCATTTTACTAATATGATAAAGGACTTTTGTCTCCTTTAGATGACTGTTTGGTATGAGTTGGGTTTTATGGCCTTTCAACACCATACAGGATTATAATACAGGCATAATTTCAAATGAACCCAATTTGATTTATGAAAAAATAAAAAAGACAAAAATTAAATGAGGGCAATTTAGTTTTTTAATGACTTAACTTACCCCTTCAATTATCTGTTCACTTAAAGCCTGTCTATGTGTTATGGTTTTGACAAAAAAAAATAGATATAATAGAAAAATAAAATTAGCTTTTTTATATATTTATAAATGCTGTGTAAAAGCAACACATTTTATCAAAAAGGATTTAACTTATAATTATTTACTGAAGCTTTTTTTTTCACAACAGATTTTTATCATTATCATGGAAACAGAAAGGGGCATGTATGACATCCTTGCCTACCCCCAGAATCCATTTAAAAGTCAATTACAGGTCTAATTTTACAGATATAAATCTTTACTGATAATTTAACTGTTAAATGTAACTGTCAACCAGAGGCAATTCTGCAGGTGAGAAAGATCAAAGTTTGAAATTGTGTATCAGAAACTAATAAATGATTTATGGACCTTTTACCGACAAAGGGTAAAAACGTACAGTTAGATTTTATCTCTCTTTTCCCTGCATTAATATGGAAAAAGGAAGACCGTTTTCCCTACAGGGCAGTACAAATTATGCAATTGTACTAGATATTATGATAATATTGCTTTTATTCTCTGCTTATAAGCTTATGTTTTAGAAACCAGCATGTCTGTTACTCATCTCCCTTAAAATAATAATTTTTTTAAAAAAAGCCAGAAATATGCAGGTTTTACATAATAATGTCATAATCAGAGAAGAAATTTGATTTAGTAAATAGAGAAAAGCAGAATCCCTACAGAATGCCTATAACGGCAGAAACCAAAACTTTTGTGTTTTCATATAAATATAATCTTCAAATGTACTTTATCTCAATAATGCTGCAAGAATTAATTTTGTATTTTTTTTTTCATAATTTTTAAGATAAATAACAAATTATATCATAATATAGCCGTCATACAATAATAAAACAACAAAATCCAATGACAATAAACAAAACTGCAATGTCATTGTGTGCACCAGTAGGATAATGAATAAATTGTGAACCATTCAAATGTGATAAGAAAAACAAGCCTCTGGCAGCAGAGATCAGAATATTTTGCCAACCATTCCAAAACAAGCCTCTGGCTTTTACAAGCATCTTGCTGTACTAGATCAACTTACATTAGACATTCATCTAGAAAATTAGATACATAGTGTGAAACTTGCAAAATATTGATACAAATCACTCTAAAACATTATCAACAACTGGAGGGTATTTTATTATCACCATCATTGCAATTTGTGACAATCTTTGTGCAAAATGTGCAGATACTGACATGGAATTATTGCCTTAGAGAATAAATACCAAAATAGACATATATTTAAATGCCCTACAAAAATATTTCACAGTTATTGCCCCTAAGTGCTCTAATTTAGTAATTATTTTATATGCAGAAAGTAACACTGTAATGTTAAGTAACTGTCAATCATGTCAGATATATCAGAACAAATTATCTCCACTTGTTTAAATGCCTGATACCCACCCCTAGACTAATTCTAATATAATCTTTATAATAACAGTTAGCTTTTGTCCCTTCATGACATGATAACGATGTAATATAAATGTCATAGATATGTAACAGTACATACAAAATAATACTTCTTTTAACAGTTTGATCTTTGACACTTTTGTATTTACACATACTTAAGGCATCATGATCTTTATATGGTCAGGGCTTTTAATAAAATAACTGTAATGCCTTTTAATAAGGTATTATTAGTGTGGTCATTATCAGCTGATGTCATGCCCAGAGTAGATAATTCTGATGACAAAAACAGTTATCACATCTACAATGGAATATTATACCCTTTTATAGCTCAAATTAGCTTATTGACAAAATGTTAAATCAACACCAATGTCAAAACATGTTTACTTGAAAGTTATATTAAGAACAAACAATGCTATTTTTTTATGTCCTCTTGTTATAGATGCAAGAAGCTAATGGTTTCTACAGAATTAAAAATATTTAGAAATGTCAAAATTAATCCTAGAGTACAAACAAAATTTGACAATTACAATGTTTTGCTGTTGCACTTATTAATGATAAATTTGTCTAAAAATAAGGGGAACATGTTGATTACTCTTTTGTAAACAGAAGTGCACCATGAAGCTAAAGAAGTTAAAGGGTGGAAAAAAACACACATTTGTTCAGTGCTTGATATTAATTTTTAAATGACTATGAAACAAATTCAGCATGGAAATCCTTTAGACTCCTCATCTGTATTATAAACACAATTAACCTGTTTCGCAAAGCAACTGTTACTTATTTGAATTAATGTCTTCACTTCCTCCCAGAAGTGGTTGATTAATTTGCAATTAGTAATTCAATACAATCATTGTTAATTAGTAACAACCACTTTCTAAAATGTGAACCCATTTCCTTTGCTGTTAGCTCACAAAGCATGTAACTGATGTAACTTACAGTCTCAATGGGCTGTTTGACCTGTTTAATGAAGACAATTAAGGTATATAATACCCTCTGTAGATGTTAATTACTTATCTCTTAAACTCACAAGAGATCTGACCTAATTACAGAAGGAACTGACTTATTGCCTAACCTAATGTTACTTAAATGAAACCAAATATTTATAAAGTACTTACTGTTCATTTAGATTCCTTTGGGTTCATTCATCAGAGCATGAGCCTCATACCAGTCATGTGAGACAAATGCCAGCAATTTGAAATTCAATTGTATTGGAGTGCAACAGGTGGAGAAGTTGGTGGCCTCAAGAGGGGCAACATGGTTAAGAACCTGCAAAATATTTAAATCTTATAATTATATAAACTGAAAAAATGGCACTGAAATAAATACATGTAAATATGACAATGCAAATATGATGAATTTTAGAGACTTGATAAATTATCAGATCAGCGTGTTAATAAACGTCATATCCTAATTATCTTATTATATCCATGTATCAAATCAAATACATGAAATAATTAGTACTAACTGATAATTTTTCTATGCTACAGACTTTTCTTGCTATGAGTTTTGCCATTGTTAATTATTTTTAAAGAACACTAAAATTATGAAATAATCCTTGCTAGTCACTGCAGGAGCTCAAAAATGCCACCAGTATTGTACCAGACTAGCCTACACATCTGTGCAGTCTGACTACACCATGTTATAATGGCTGACCAATTTTGAATTTTCATCTCCATTTCTTCAAAATTGATAATGGTCTGTTAAAAAAGAAAGCTGGTACAATTGATCGGACAGACTGAATGTATGTGTACCCTGACAGCCTTTATGCTCAGGCAATACAGTTCTGTCATTCAGTTCTTTGCTAAGCACTCATTGGTATAATTCTCATTGCACTACAAGATATGATAATCTTATCTATTATTTCATTAATGCCCCTGCAATCTTGTTAATTTTCTGAAATCTGGACAAAATAATCATTGACGCAGTACATTAGAGGATTATGCATTTAGCTTGGACATCATCAATACTAATTACTAAACTCTGATTATGGCCAATAAGGGCAATCAGCTGAGTCTCCAAAATGTAATTATTAGTTTTTCCAAGTAAATGGCACAAAATCATCACAAAATGTGTGTATTGTTCTACCAAGAATAGCATCAAAGGATAAAACATAGATGATGTTTGTAAAGTAAACAGCTTATATCTATATAAGGTGCAATAAGTAATTTATATGTGTCAGCAATATTAAAGTAAAAGATGTTTACATAATGCACTCTGCAGCACACCAACCCTCAAAATGCTTATAATCACCCAAAACACTTATTGCCGCCCAAAACGCTTACATTCAATCAAATGTTACACTGAAATATCTGAATTTCTAAAAAAAATGATAAAAAGTCTTTTTTTTACTAAAGACACTCTGACACTGTTAAAGTGAAATTGGAGGTTTTCTAGCTTTATACTTATGAAGGAATACCAAAAGTTACATTATAAAATATAGCTCCTACAGATGCAAGCTTCATCCCCTTTCATTTGGTAAAAAGGTGTTACATTTAGCAATTCCTAACAGAAACCATTTATAACTGTTATCATTGGGAATCGGAACTGATGGCTGTTTCCTACATGGACCATAACAATCAGTAGGGCATTTCAACCTGGGAGAAATGTGAGAATACTGTCTGGATAAGAAATTACTGTCAATACAGCAATTAGAACTGACCTAGTAAAATACACAAAACATCCATGGATACACTATCTACAGCTGGTGTAACCATTAATTTCTAAATTGCTGTAACAACCTGTGAGCTGTCATCCAGGGTGGCACCAATACCCTGCATTGGTATTACTATACCAAATTGGTTTAGGTGTTGTTCACATTATATTTGACAGGAGGTTATAGGTAAAAATCTTTGACATTAATATGCTAACCAACCCTGTTTTTCTCATTATTCAATTAGACCCTTTTCCAATTAATTCTTGACCATCTGATAGGATTTCCTTATCATGCTTGATGTGAATGGCAGAATTATTATTTATACTGGACAAAGCTCATTAATTAAACTCAAGTTTTAACTGACAATATTGCAATATAGAACTGAATTTACTTCGGAGTAATCATTATAGCATATTAACAAACAAAAAATGCAAAATTATTGGTAATCAAACATCAACAATAAGATATTGTGATGTTAATGATAAATTAAGATGTGAATATATCATAACATTCATATTTTTTCAGTTATTGTCTGAAAGGGCTTTTAATTGCTTAAAGAATGTTTTCCTTATCTTTGGCAAAAGTGTTTAAATTATAGGTAATCAAACAAGGTGCTTTTTTCACATCCTGTATGGGTCTTGGGAAAGTACTACAGTATCTTGCAGGGAACCAGCTATGGTGTAAATGAGGTGTTAACATAGATAAGAAACTGCCAGCAGGGTACCTGCCAATGTCACAATTTGTAACTGTAAATTGCTCCTCTTGTATTATTGGTTAAGTGTTCTTTGACATAATTGAGGGATAATTTGACATAATTTTCAGAGATTTGTGTAAAAGACTTAACAGTAATGAATAAAAGGAAGTACATTCTATGAATTATTGATAGGGTAAATTAGAAAATGACAGTAAATATGGTGTCACGCAATACCATATCACAGTTATTCATTATTTTGTCAAGAACTTTTTTTCATCAATTGTTTGCAAGAAAATAATTCCCTTGGCACGCAAATAAAAATGACATTGACATTTCATTAATTAATTACAATACATTGTTGTTCTTTAGGTTCATTTGTGCATAGGATTTTAGGGTATTTATTATGTACATAGAACAAGTACTGAATAAGATAAAAAGAAAATGAATACACAAAATGGAAAAAATGTTCATAATGTTTTACTTCCTATTGTTTCCTTTCACTGGGTTGAATATACACAGTGGTGAACAGACACACAGACGGACAATTTTATAGACTAACATGTGGAAATGCAGATAATTTCATGGACAAGAAGATAATTATGATATTGTGTACAAATGCATAAAAAAACTATTACTAATAGCTTCTTCTTCCAGGGACTTTAAGTTACAAAACTATGGACCATTTTTATTAATTTCATTTCATGTTTTTTAACAATTACAACCCTTTATATACTTTTCAAACCCAAATCAACTAAGTATAAGAGACACAATTTATTTTAAACACTAAATCAGTTTCAAAGAGTTTAATAATTCAAAAAACAAATAATAATTTAGACTGCACTCTTATTTTCTATTTGTTCTTTACGGTTGTAGGAAATTACTCTTTGTAATTGCCATATGATACTGCCACTTCAACTTCCTAAGTCGATATCCATCAAAGTTCTTCCTGCTTCTGCAGAACATAAGTGGTAAATTATTTGCATTCACTATTTACCAACTGAAAGTAGTTGAATGCATAACAATTAGTTTTTTATTTTAATATTTGACTGAATATATCTATATCCTTTCTGCTGAAGTGTGCAATGGCAAAGCAGTGCCAGGTCACCAAGTAGCCAAGGTGGTGTTCTGCATGTCACCATCGACTGCTCTTTTCTTGCGGAAAACAAAAGTGGCATGAAAGCGATGCATCTCATATTAGTACAGATTGTATATAGCCCTAGTTTAAAGTGGCCTTGAACAAATGGATGCATTTATAATGGGTGACATAAATTCTTGTTGGACGGTTTTCTATTTACTTTTGCACTTTTCACACTTGAGACATAATGCAGACACAATGCTGATAATATCATGTTCAACATTAAAGAGTTGTCTACCCCTGAGAATATTTGCTGTCATATTATCAACCAACCAATCAAAACCTGTTAAAATATGACACCTACTTATCAAACTTCTTTCCTACCATGAAACAATTCATTTACTGTTATACTACCATCTGGGAGAACTTGTTGCTCAGAATCCTACTGTGGATTAATTGATCTCCAACCAACCAAAATTACCTCACTTAGTGACATTAAGTGGTCCTTTAGGTTTTAACAAGTGCTCCTTGAGGTTCCATTTCAGCTCCATGGTGCTGATTTCTTGACAGAATTAATGTGATAAAATCAATGAAAAAGCATGAAATAAGTCTCAATGGGCCACTAAAGATGCCACTGTCAATTAAAAAAAACAACAACTTGTTAATAACTATAGTAATGGTAATTTGTCCTACATAGTTCACAATGATAGGACTCTTTTCTGTACATGGCCTTCTGGAGTTTATTATCAGCTACTATCCTTGAAAATGAAATTAAATTCAAATAAAAGTAACAAACATATAAAATAATGTCACTATTAATATCATATATTATAGTACAGGTTGTTATGAATATTTTAAAGCACTCTGCATGCAAATATCAGACAGACAGCTGCAAAATACGAAAACTTATTTTGTTATTTTGTATGTGTTGTTTACCATACACAAAGTTTTTTTATCTTTTATCATTGCATTTTTAATTAACATATGCTATTGGATAATTATCTAACGCGAATCATGTCCTCTCAATAAGGTGATTGACTTCTTTACCATATTAAATGAGATCTATTTCAATTAATGTTTTTGTCTTGTTTATGGGTTGAACTACAGCTTGTAACAGTTGTTTATTCCCTGGGACATTTCAAATGTCACACATAGAAAAGATGAGCAATATCTAGTGATGACTTCAATCTTTAAACACTTCTAGTGATAATGATTTTACTAAATCGCTTATACAGACAAACCTGGTAGTTAGTGACCAGTGCAGAGAAAGCTAGTGGCGGTCGTGACTTGTCTAAATCACCTTTACAGAGAAAGCTGGTGGTGGTAATGATTAGCCTTAACACATGCACTCCGAAGCTAGTGGTGGTCATGACTTGTCTAAATCACCTTTACAGAGAAAGCTGGTGGTGGCAATGATTTGCCTAAAAGCCTGCACAGAGGAAGCTAGTGGTGGTCATGACTTGTCTAAATCACCTTTACAGAGAAAGCTGGTGGTGGCAATGATTTGCCTAAAGGCCTGCACATAGGAAGCTAGTGATGGTCATGACTTGTCTCAATCACCTTTACAGAGAAAGCTGGTGGTGGTAATGGTTTGTCTAAAAGCCTGCACAGAGGAAGCTAGTGGTGGTCATGACTTTTCTAAATCACCTTTATGGATAAAGCTGGTGGTGGTAATGATTTGTCTAAAAGCCTGCACATAGGAAGCTAGTGGTGGTCGTGACTTGTCTAAATCACCTTTACAGAGAAAGCTGGTGGTGGTAATGATTTGTCTAAAAGCCTGCACAGAGGAAGCTAGTGGTGGTCATGACTTGTCTAAATCAACTTTACAGAGAAAGCTGGTGGTGGTAATGGTTTGTCTAAAAGCCTGCACAGAGGAAGCTAGTGGTGGTCATGACTTTTCTAAATCACCTT